GGGGCACTGGGAGGGCTGTACAACACAGAGAAGACAAGTAGTGACTCTACAGCATCTTACTATGCTGATGGACAGTGACTGTAATGGGGTATGTAGGGGGGACTTGGTGATGGGGGGAGTCTAGTAAACATAATGTTCCTCATGTAACTGTAGATTAATGATACCAAAAAAAATGGGTGGAGGACATAAACAGACATTTCTCCAAAGAAGAAATACAGATGGCCAACAGGCACATGAAAAGATGTTCCACATGCTAGTCATCAGGGAAATGCAGATAAAAACCACAATGAGATATCACCCCACACCAGTCAGAATGGCCACTATCCAAAAGATAAGAAATAACAAGTGTTGGAGAGGATGTGGAAAAATGGGAACCTTTCTAGGTTGTTTGTGGGACTGTTAATTGGTACAGTCATTGTGGAAAGGAGTATGGAGTTTCTTCAAAAAACTAAAAATAGAAATACCATTTGACCCAGTAAATCCACTTCTAGGAATTTACCTGAAGAAAACAAAATCTCTGATTCAAAAAGATATATGCACCCCTATGTTTACTGCTGCAGTATTTACAAAAGCCAAGATAGGAAGCAACCAAAGTGTCCGTCAGTAGATGAATGGATGAAGAAGAAGTGATACATATACACCATGGGATATTATTCAGTCATAAAAAGAAGAAATCCTGCCATTTGTAACAACATAGATGGATCTAGAGAGTATTATGCTCAGTGAAATAAGCCAGGCAGAGAAAGACATATACCATATGATTTCACTTTATCTGTGGAATATAAATACAAAGCAAAGCAGAGGGAACAAAACAGCAATAGACTCATAGACCCTGAGAGGTGACTGGTGGTTACCATGGGGGAGGGGCTGGGGTGGGTGGGTGAGGTTGAGGGCATAAAGGGGTACAAAAACTCTCAATCATAATATAGGTTAGTCTTGGGGATGGTTTTACAGCATGGACAGTATAGTCAGTGAGTCTATAACATCTTCCTATATTGACAGATAGTAGCTGTACTAGTGGGAATGAGAATTTAATAATGTGGGTATAACTGTTGAACCACTGTGTGTATACTTGAAACAAATATAAGATCGTGTATCAATGATACTCCAATTAAAAAATAAAATAAAATAAATTTGACTTAAGATAAAAATCAGATCTTTACATAAGAAAATTTGGGGAACCAAAACTAAATGTAAGTAAATGCCTAACTAAATTACAGAGGACACATATGATATGGAGTATTATGTAGTCATTCAAAACTAAGTTTTCTAAGGACTATTTACTGTTTATTCATATCAAAGCACTACTTTCCACATTCTGTTTTAAATGCCTGACATTTATTATCTTATTCCATTGTCCTAAAAACATCATGAGATTATCATAAGTCCTATTAATATCACCACTTTTAAGTTGAACAAACTGAGGCACAAAAAGTTAAATTTAGTTTTCAGTGATGCACGGATAATGAGGTGGGATCAGACATTTGCTCTCATGCACTCCAGCCCCTCTTGCCACTTCCTTTCTGCCCCTACTCTACAATGACCCCTCTTTACAAAGAAAGTTCACCAAATTTTAAATGCCAAAAAAAGAAAAACCACAGGAATTTGATCAACATTAACATAACAGTTCATTAAAATACATATAGGTATAACAAAAAAATGAAAGGAAAACTTCACAGATGATTTTTGCTTCTTTCTAAATTTTTGAATTTTCTCAGTTTTTATAAGGAACTTGTTTTAGTTTTATAGATTAACTTTAGCACTTATATTATGATTTTGCTTTATACATTAAGCAATTAACCATTGTTTCTTTAAAGATGAAAAAGCATTTCTCAGTTTTCACAAAACACTATCCTCAATAATAATTCCAACTATGTGAGCCAGAGTATTTTGGAGCTTCTTAATTGAACAGATTTAAGTTCCCAGCTTTTGTTATAAATACTCCCACACCAATAAATCAAATGATAAAATAAAGCATATTGAAGCTAGCCAGAAAGTGAATTATGTGTTTTATCCCTCCTTTCCTGGGGACACCGAAATATATACGTACACTCACGTCAGGATATGAGCTCCTTGCAATTATTTCAGTACTTCAAAATATGTCCACATACATGTAAGGTCACAATTTTTAAAAAATGAAGCAAAATACACTACAGATGTTTCTCAGTATTACTCAATCTCCAATCCTTACTTCAGTTCAGGTACTTACATTCTCTTTTATTTATTCCTATTTTAATTTTAATTTTAGTTTTAGTTTTAGGGAATATAAAAATGCCCTGTTAAGCCTTTTCCATGATCACAGCATAGGTATTGTCTTTATTTATGTATTCAAAATGTACTACTCCTTAAGTCTGGATTACAAACATCCATTTGCCTAATCAACAAGAAGCCAAATTTATCTTCTAGGGATTCTTCACTCTATTAATTATATAAGAATCCAGGTAAGGAGCAAAGTTCTCCTCCCATGTTACAAGGCCATTGTAGTTTGGTCAGCCTAAAACTATGGCTGTTTCTTACTGTTACATGATAATGAAATCGAAACTTAACCCCCTACCCTGTCCACCTGCTAATCATTTCAGGAAAATTCCCTACAGAGTGAATCTAAGACACATATTCCACGCTTCTCTTTTTTCTAATTCTTTTTACATCATGGGTATCCAAGGTCAGGGCGATGCATCCCATGTGAGCACAGCTTCTGGTCTCTGTGCTCAAAGCTACAGAATAGAATTGAAATGAAAAAAAAATTAAGTGTTTGTATTTTCTCAGTTTCATCTAAGGACTTGAATGTATATAATATTTTTATTTAGACAAGGAATAGTGAGAGACAGGCACCTCCCTAAATGGTGGAGTGTGTTGGCAAAATGGATGTTCCCAGGACCCTCCTCAAGGCTCCCATGACCTCCTTATTCCTCAGGCTATAGGTGAGGGGGTTCAGGGCTGGGGTAACAATTGTGTAGAAAACAGAGATGATGTTGTCCTGTCTGGAGCTGTGGAGGGAACTGGGCAGGACATACATGAACGTGGCTGCTCCATAGAACATCCCAACCACAGTCAGGTGGGAAGAGCAGGTGACGAGGGCTTTCTGCCTCCCTTCATTTGAGGGCATGCCAAGCACAGCAAATAGGATTAGTGTGTAGGAGGCAAGGATAGCAACAAGAGGGGGTATCAGGAAGGTCACACCCATCACATACACCATGAGCTCATATCTGGAGGTATCTGCACAGGCCAGTTTCAGCAGAGGTGGGATCTCACAGAGCAGATGTCTGATCTTCCAGACTTTGCAGAAGGGATAGTGCATAGTATATATGGTATGTCCTAGAGCACTCAGGGATGCCAGGATCCAGGATGTGGCCACGAAGAGCCAGCAGACCCTTGGCCTCATGAGGACCATGTAGTTCAGAGGATGACAAATGGCCACATACCTGTCATAGGCCATGAAGGCCAGTAGGAGATCCTCTGCACCACCCAGGGTCAGTGCCAGAAACATCTGAAGGGCACAGCCCCAAAAGGAGACAGTGTTTTCATCACGCAGAAAATCCAAGAGGACCTTGGGAGTGACAACAGATGTGAAGAGAAGGTCCATGAATGAGAGCTGCCCGAGCAGGAAGTACATGGGCACATGCAGGCGAGAGTCCACTGTGATCACCAGGAGCAGCAGGCCATTGCTGGTCAGGGCCAACATGTACAGGACTGACATTATGGCACAGAGCAGCTCAGGAGAACCACTATCATTCAGAATCCCCATCAATAGGAAACCACTTCCCAGGGTGGAATTCCAGGGCTCCATTCTTTGTTGTTTCTTTAGTTGCCTAGGACCAAATGGGTTCTCAGTGAATTTTTGCTAAATGGTTCCCTGGTTTTGTGACAGCAGAGGCCCCTGAGGATGATCAACATGAATTCAAGGGGTTGAGACCTTTCCCACTGGTAACTGACTTTACCTCTTGATCTCTCGGTTTCTGACTCTTAACTATATCATTTGATAAAAAGAGGCACCTCTGTGGACAACAGGCATCATATCAAAAGCTCAGCATTGAGAGAGCACTATTAAAATATTATTCAGGACATCAAACCTGACATGTCTTTCCAGAAAGATTAAATCATGTCTCTCTTAATAGAAAGCAATATTCTGGCACCCATGCCCTTGATTATTCTTGTATCTATGTTTTAAGTATCACGTTTGCCTAATGAATTAAATACCCATTTAGTGCCTTAATAGACCTGTTTTGGGTATGAAATTCTAAAGCAAGTAAAAATGTGAACACAATATAGCACTTCCCTTTCTTTTTCCATATAATTTGTGTCCCCATTTGTTTGGGGCACTCAGGGCTGCAGACACAAGCCCCACTGGAAGAGCTGAGTGTGTCCACCCTGGTCACCTCTCTGGACCAGCCCCACACTCTCCAAGTGCCTGAGAGAGAAGGGATTCTCAACTGCCTCAGACAAGGGGATGATGTGTTTAAAATGCTTTTAGAGCAAAGCCTTTAGGATCAGTGCAAACATAAGATTGTTAACAGATTGTGATAAAATGTGAGCCCAGGAGGAATCGGAGATCTGATTCAACTGAGGGCCTCCCCAGGAAGATGAGTGTTTGTATTTGGGAGAAATGGTGAAAGATGTAGGCAACAAAAGAGCACGTGTTATATGCTGTAATTGGGCTGCATAATCCCGTCTGGCCTCTCTTGAACCTGACCCAGATCCCCACTCTCCTCCTGCAGGGCCAGAGTATCCACACTGGATTGAAGAGCTTGAAGCTCTGGAAAGCTGCTATTGGAGTATAATACCCATTGCCAGGGAGAAGCCAGAAGAAACACAGCCCTGACGGGGACAGGACTCAGGGTCATGCACCACGGGCACTGGACAGATGTACCCAACTCTGAACATGGGTCACAGAAACTGTAAGTGAAGCACCTTTGTCTAAATCATTTCCCTATATTGTGGATTCAATATTTGGACATTTCACTGGTGTCCGGTGGTCTCCTCTGGGTCAACAAGTTTTTCATGGGAAAACATTATTAGAGCATATGATGGGTTCTTAGATGGCCTCATGATCATAGGTGCAAAAACACCTTATCAGAGGTCAGCAAAATTCATGAGGTCTAAAGACATGTACTAGCACCTCCACCAAGAAGCAGAATCCAGGCCTGGGAAGTGGCATGGGCTTTCATCATCCTCACTGACTCCTCCTCATGTTTAGAAAACTGAGAATGGAGGGGCCTGGGATGGGGCAGAGAGCCCAAAGCACTACAGATGCTGAAACATAGAGTAGTTTAAGTTCTTGGGGTCTGCTCTGGGCTCTGTTTCTCAACTCAGCATTCCTGGAGGCAGCACTGCCCTGAAAGAAAGACAACGTCCTTACCTCAGGTTGTGAGAAGCCCAGCTGCCCAACAGCCCTGGGGTTGTTTGAGGATCAAGGATGCTCCCGTAGGAATGGGGAAGGTTGACAGGGCTTTCCCAGCAGTAGCCAGTTGGTTTAATTTTTGCTAATTGGGTTGGGAGTCTGATAAGTCTGACCAAGACAGGTGTCAGGTCCTGCTGCTCCTTCCATTCCTCTGCAGGTCTTCTCTGGAGATGCAGCAGGTGCAGACAGAGAGCTAACTGGGTAGTCTCTATGGGGCAAGAAGATGGCTTCCCTTTCTATACGTGTGGAAAATTAGAGGAAACTGCTGCTGTCACATAGTTTCCCGGGGGAGGAAGCCCATCTAGCTCTGGAGTAGTTGTCAGACTGAGTTCTGGGGTCCAGATGCTCAGAATTTCATTTACTCTTGCTAGGGTCCAGGAGCAAAGGTGAAAGCAGCAGGAATCTGGAGGAAGTAGATATTGGAAGAGCTGCCCAAGGGAGAGCCCCTGCCATGCCCGGCCTCACTGTCCCTGGGGCCAACAGTGAGTCAAGGCCAGACCTGGAGGAGGCTGCTCCATCTGCTTTTGCCATGACCCCATCCCTTTACTCTATACTACATTCACAAGGACTTATCTTCTCAGCTGAAAAGGCCTCCCCTGGAGATGCTGGCCCAGGTAACAGGATGTTAATGAATCCTCTTGAGCATGTTTCCTGGCTGGCATCCCTGCTCTCTTCTCTCACTAAATGAGCTCAGAGGCCCTCGATTTCTATTCCACCCCATGGGAGGCACTGATAGCCCATTTCGAAATTGCTGGCTGAAGAGACCAGGAAGCAAGAGCCCCTTTCACAGTCAGCCCTGTGCCCCAGACCTTAAGGCAGGCTTTGTGTCACCTGTGGGACACTGGCACACAGTCTTCTGTTGAGAAGTTGACTTCTCCACTTATTATTGAGAGTCTGTCTTTCTCATCTTCACTGCCTGCTCTCTTTGCTCATTCATTTACATGGTCTTGTATCAAAAGCTTTCTCTCAAACCCCTGAGTTAGCTTCCAAATATGAGAGATTTCCCTTTTCAAACAATCCTTTGGTTTACATTTCCTATCTCTCTAAATCCCTCATTTTTGCAATAAATGTCTTGAAAAACCATTTGTAGCAACTTAGTCTACTTGTTCTTTGAGTTGCCCATTCCTTATATGTGAAGGGAATACTCACTACCTGCTGTATCCAACAATTCAGAAATGACAGTTAGCATGACCCAGTGAAACTGCACTTCTCACTTATGTAACAGTTCAAAGCAGATCTCTTGGTTAGGGAGCTGTCCTTAACTGTCCTTCAGGGCTGCTTTGGGGACCCAGGCCTTTTCCTTCTTGTGGAGCCAATATCTTCAATATGTGGTTCCCAGACTGACAACAGTCATCTCCATTCTGCTGGCCTGACAGAAAGGAGATCCTGGGGCAGCAGGCACAGGTGTTCTCCATGGCTCAGACTTCACTTTATGGCATACTCCATGGTACACTTTACTTCTGTGCTACCCTCCTCAGCCTGTTTGTATCAGCTCCTGCCAAGCACCCCACATGAACTGAACTGACATTCTTTGTCCCGAGATCACCAGTGTCTTCTTTGCAAAATCCTTCAGTGTGTACTGTTTTGTTACTGGGTTTGTTTCAAACTCACTAAAATCCTGCATTCTTCCTTCTTTTGGTGCAAGAAAGACAAAATAAAGCTTTGCTTGCTCTGCATTTTTTGATTGTTCAAGTTTGTTCCAGTACTTTTTTCCCTCTGACTTCTGGGTTAATCTGGTAGCACACTGCACTAGCAGGTAAGATCCAGAAGGGCAGGAACCAAAACTGTTTTGTTCCCAATCACAAAATTAGCTTCTAGCATGGTAACAGGCACAGTACCATTCATTGGTACTCAATAAATGTTTGCCACATTAATAAATGAATGAATGGATGAAAATGTCCACCACAGCTCCTCTCAAATTCCAACTAAAATAACCACGAAGATAAAAATATTTTTGAAAGCCTACTTTAGATCAGTATACAAGAACTAAGAAAGGGTTATACAACAAGGTTCAGAAGAAATCTCCACCAACTCTACTATTTTTTTCAAAGGATATATTTTAAAACATAATTTTTACTTCAAAACTAGAAATATTTGAAGCTTGACATATCCAAAGAATTTAGGCTAAGTTTTATTGATATCTAATTCCAGAATAAAGGAACTCCCAGACCAAAAAGTAGAGAGATGCCGTCTAATGATGCAACAGGTAGGCAAAGTCAGAGCCTTCTCCACATTATCCCTCTTCCTCTGCCTCCTTCACTCAGACACCCAGAAAACAATTTGCAATTAATATAAAAGGATTAGGCAGAGATGGCTTGCATTCTGAGACAATCTGCAGCAAGGGAAAAGTAATTATACACAGTTAGTGTGTGTTACAGTGAGTGTGTCATAGGTCAGGGTCCCTTAGAAGCTGACCCTGAGCAAGGATCTGAGTGAACAGTTCATTTAGGGAGTGATCTCAGGAAAACTTAGGATGGAGTGTTGGACAGAAAAGCAAGAGTTAATAAAGAGTATGTCATCAAGCAAGTTACTGTGGGTAATTGAATCTTAGTGCTTTTGGGGAACTCTGAGAAACAGAGTAGAACATGTATCTCAGAGGCATATTGCACCTAAGGTATAACGGATCTTGGGTATGTACACATAAAGTCTCACCAATCATCAATTAAGGCCTGGTTGCTACAGAGGACACTAATTCTCCAGGCCATTCTGGACTTCTGGGCATGTGGGCAGAACTGGCATGTCAGCCAAAGACAGTCCTACACAAAAGATGTAAATGCTGGCTGTTGGATGTCAGCATGCCCTGAAATGATAAGGGTCAAAAGGACATATGCAGAGCCTTGCCCTCATTTACTACATTCTAAGGTAATAATGTTTAAAATAATGAATGCTCAGAGGTAAAGTCTTAAATTTACCAGAATGTTCACAGCAATGAAGAGATAAGGGAGATGATTGAATGTTGAGGCTAGTAAAGAATAAATAAAAATATGATGGATACATTATCTTTTAATGATAGTACTTGACTGCATTTCCTAGAATTTCAGTTAGATTATTGCATCTATACTAAAGTGATGGAGCAAAAATATTGCCTGAAATCCAAAAATTTAACAATATTTGTCCTGTACCTCCAAGTTCTAAACTGAAGTGCTGCATCAGAGAACACTTCCATGGAAGTGATCCAAAGGTGATTTACAGGCATTAAGCCTTAAACCCTTGTAGGGTGTGAGAGATAGCTGGAAGGTGGTGGAGAGGAATACTTTGAAGATATTTATCAGGGTAGTCTTTTACTCCTCCCTCCATGAGAAATGAGTTGATTCCCCTCACCTTAAGGGGCAAAAGCTTCAAAAGGTACTAATGGACAACTTCATGTGTATTGTCTGGAATTTGATGAATGTTAAAACAAGTACCTTCACACATAAAAAAAATCTAAGGGTCAGTTATGGACTGGTATGGTGTCCCTGATTGAAGAGAACAGACACAACATTCCACACTCCCAGAACTTGGTAAAACAGGATATAAACTTGACTCCACTTGGCTACATGAGGATCCTGTGGAAGAGAATTAGGCCTCTTTGTAAAAGGGACTCATCCCAATAGCAGCACCTACAGACGTCGGTGACCTCCCAGGAGAGGAGCACACTAGCACAGGGGAGGCAGACGTGCCCAGCTGATGGAGACGGGGCCTTGGAAGGAGTGGTCAGGTTAAGTGAGGTGATTATGGTGGATCCTAACTCAATCTGACTGATGTCCTTATAAGAACAGGAAATTTGGACACACAAAGAGATACCAGGGTGTATGCACACAGAGGAAAGACTGCTGAGCACATAGAGAGAAGGCAGCCACCTGCAAGCCAAGGACTGAAATGCAGAAAAAAACAGTCTGGACAACACCTCAGTCTTGGACTTAATCGCTTGTACTCCCTCCCGCTCCCCCAGCACTCTTCGTTCTCACCTCATCCTGATTTAGTGATTAATTTTTCTTGTCCCAAATATTTTTGTTGGTTGTGCATACCAGCCACTTTTAGAATTGAATCATACAAAGGCATTTCGGAGCTCCTGTCCGTGTCCTCAAACCCGCAAGTTCCCAAGGCTGGTGTAATTGTTGTGCTGCTGTCCTTCCGGGCTGACCGCTGTCTGTAGATGCATAGCACTAGGACGCGTGGGTGGGCAGCAATTTTATTCAGATCCCTTTCACTGGGGATTTGGTGGAATGTGTGAGGAAAAAGAAGCCCCACCTAAAACACTAAACCTTACTTATTTCCTCATGTACACGGAGCAGTTTTAATTCTTATTGCCTCACCACCACTGCATGCTCTCTTGAGAGAGACAGAAAGAATTCTGAAAGGATAGAATTGAAATGTTGGCAGGACTTACTTCTGGAGAGGTATTATATGTGATATGTGATTTTATTTGCATTTTAATATAGCTCGCATTATTCCTTTCATAATCAAAAAGGAAAACATTTAATTTCATTTTCTGAGTGTTGAGCTCAACTGCCCTCTCTCCCTCATCCAAAAAAGAGAATGACAAATTTGAAAACACTTTCACACTTATTGGTGGAAACGAGAGTCTACACATAGCTAGAGGATGGGGAGAATATGGAAAACAATCAGGTGACAGATGACATTGGCCTGAAAGAATGTAGTGTTTAGTCAAGAAGTGAGAGAAATCGGATTCAGTACTACTGGCAGAGAATTCTATGTAGTTAAGCTTACTTATCACAGACAACACATGATTGCACATACTAGTTAACTCTTTCACACCTGCACACACTATACATAAGCAAACACATCCACCAAAAAAATGGAGAGAAGAGAAAAGAAAAAGAAGAAAGTAATGCTTTAGGAAGGGTCCTGTGCAGTACAGGTGAATTCATTGCAGGGAGGGCCTTAAAGTTACAGAGACACTATAGGGTTCAATCACTTTTAATTGGAAATAAGGCAATTGGACACAGTGCATCTATGCATAGCATTCCACAGATCCCATAAGACACTCTTATGTTTGCACCAAATGCTGGCTTTTGGGCCAGTCACTGTCAATGCAGCAAGGAATGTGAAACAGAACCCCAGCAAGCCCATAGCAACTGTATGACAACCTGGGCATCCCAGCTCATTTAGTGGGTAAACGATGCTAGAAATATGGGCAAAGTGATTAATTCAATTTTTTATTGGGCCAACACTTCACTCACTCCAAGGGTGAGTTTACCCTGCTAAGAAGGTATTTCCCTTAGGGAAGAACTGTGGCAAGAGACCATAAGCTTAACAGAGAAGCACAACCCCCGCTCAGGCAGAGCATGACTCTCTGTGATCTTAGAGGTAATGAAACCTTCTAAGGCAGGCACTAAGTTTTACTCATATTGTGAGGTCCTGGGCACAGTGCTTGCACAGAGTGACACTTAAGAAATATCTGTAGAGAAGAAAATTATCTGAGGCAGATAAAGCAATGGAAGGAAAGGATGAGTACAGCGGTCACAATGTTCCAAGTGCTTAAGAAAAATGTCAGAAATCACTGCCTCTGAAGGTGGGTTATCTTCCAGCCAGCTTCCTGAGAGCCCCCTTCACATCCTTGTTCCTCAGGCTGTAAATGATGGGGTTCAACATGGAAGTCATCACTGAGTAGAACACAGAGATGACCTTATCCTTTTCATTCATTGCCTTGGAATTGGGTCTCATGTAGGCAAATATTCCAGAGCCATAGTAGAGAACCACAACAGTGAGATGGGAACCACAGGTGGAGAAAACCTTGAGCCTCCCCTCTTCTGACTGCATCCGAATCACAGTGGAGATGATATACCAGTAGGAGACGAGGATGAGGGAGACAGGTGCTAAGAGGATAATCACACCCATTGAAAAGAGGGCCATCTCAGCATTGTAGGTGTCTGCTGAAGCCAGCTTCAAGAGTGCAGGGGGTTCACAAAAATAATGATTAATTACATTCTGTCCCTGGTAGGGGAGACACAGTGTGAACACACTGTCCACTGAACATACAAACGCCCCACTGATCCAGGACACTATGGCCAGCTGGACACAAACCCTGTGGGTCATGATGGTGGAGTAGTGCAGCGGCTTGCAGACGGCCACGTAGCGGTCATAGGACATCACCGCCAGCAGTGCGCACTCTGTACACCCTGCTAGGAGGAAGACGACTATCTGTAGTGAGCATCCAGCAAAGGAAATGGTTTTCCTTTTTACAAGGAAGTGGACCAACATATTAGGAACAATGCTTGTAGAGAAACAGAGGTCAGCAAAGGACAAGTTTTTGAGGAAAAAGTACATGGGAGTGTGAAGTCGAGAGTCAGTCTGGATAAGGGTTATTATGAGTAGGTTTCCACATATAGAGAGAAGGTAAACAATCAGGAAAACACAGAACAGCAAGACCTGGATCTTTGGATCCTGTGAAAGTCCCAGCAAGATAAATTCAGCCAGAGAAGTTTGGTTTCCTTCTCCCATTGATGTTTTTTCCTGTTTACCTATCATCGGAAAGAAACAGATGCACTCTGAATGTTTGATTTGCAGAAGCTTTATAAACTAGCACAATGTCAATGCACACACCTTGCTGTACCCTTCTTTCAGCCGCTTCCTACCAGGTGCCAGTTAGCATTAGGACGCATACTGTTGTGTCCACCAATTTATATAGTTCTTATAAGCACTTTTTTCCTTGAATGATCCACTTGGTAGGCTACCTGTATGGCTTCTCGACTAATCCTGATGTCAACATATTTACCTGCTGATAAATTACGATGAAGATATATCAGGAGAATTGTCTTTGGTTCAATTTAATTTTTGTCTTTTCAAGAAATATTTTGTATTTACCTTAATTAGCAGTCTGAGAAGGAGGGAAACTTGGCTAGTCAATAAAAACCACCTTTGCTTTTATAATACAAAATAAAAATACAGAGGACAGTGACAGATTTGTCCACAATAGAGTAGGAGATTCAAATATGGTTTAGGGATCAAACAGATAAATTGTGGTTATTAGTTCTTGCTTTTTTCTATAGCATTTTTATAAAGAGACTTCTTAAGTAAACTTTCTGAACAGGACAAAGGAAGAAAAGAGAAAGTAAACTTTCTGAACAGGACAAAGGAAGAAAAGAGAAATTTGTGTAAAAGAGAAATTACACAAATATTTCACATAACAAAGAGAAATAACATGAAAAAATGGGACATACTATGTACATTCAGAAATGGACATAATGAGACTTCTGTGCTCAGAGCCTTGTTTTAGTGAAAAAAGCCAGGACCACACAGGAGCTTGAACTTCTGAATTGGAATTAACACATTGTGAAATTAATAAATTTCACATCCCCATGCATACCATCTAGCTCACCTTTGACCTCAGCTTCAGCTGTGGTGGACAGTTCTGACTCACCTGGCCCCACTGACATTCTGCTTCAAGGACTCCTGCTTTGTCTTTGAGGCATTCCTCCCAGGGCCTTGGAAGCATGAGCAAGTTAATGCCCAGAGGCAATCTTCAACTAGTGAATAGTGGGAGTCAATGAATACATGTACCACACATTTCTGGGAGACATTCTGTATGCTTCTTAGAGGTTGAGCTCCATGGAGTTAAGTTTATTACTATTATTATCATTATTATTACATCCACTAAGGAGCTTTTTACAGTTCTTTCCCTAATCCCTTCCCTCCTGAAATTTTAATGGCACAGATATACTGTATATCTATTTATATACTGCAGGCCTTTGGAGGGCCACAAACTATTATAATAGCTAAGATTTCTTTCTCTTTCCAAGAACCTTAGGGTCTATACTGCCCCCATGGAGAATTCATGGTCTAGAGTAACAGCTTTAATAATCCAAACTTCATTGGCATTTAGTTGTTCCTTATCTCACTCTTACTGGTTCCTTACACCATTTCCTAGAATTACTTTTCAAATAAATCACCCACATCCAAGTTATTTTCTTAGGCTCTGTTTTCAGGGACCCAATCTAAAGGAGGGAGATGGAGGCCTGATGAAGACACATGGGCAGGCTGTCTTCAGCCAGGGAGTCCCAACTCTGTCTGATGATAATGACTAACACTTAATGAATGCTTACATTGTGTCTGGCACTATTCTAAGTAATTTATATGTATTAGTTTATCTAATTGTCATAACAATTCAATGATAAAGTATATTTTCAAATCTCTATTTCTACAGTTGGGGAAATTAAAGGGTAGAGATGTTAAGTAACTTGCTAGTCACACAGATATCAATTGTCAGAGGTGGAATTCAAAGCCCTAGAGTTTTGTTCTAATATCTGAGCTTTTAAATCTTCAATCTAAATTCAGTCTCAATTCCAACAGCAGCAGTTAGCACTGAAAAGCTAATCATTTGGCACAAGAAAATCCAAGCAGTGCTCAAAGGACAGGAAATTATCCTCAATCTCAAGCATGTTCATAAATAGCTTGGCTCCTAAAGTTGGAGGAGGTTAAGTTTTTCAGATGTTGTCAATTAGAAAATAACCTGGAAAGAAGTAAGTCTTGTGGTAAGGTTCTAGTCAAGTTTTTTAAGTTTACAGAAGACTTTTTATAAAATAATAATAATAATAAAGAGGATTCAAAATTCAGGTAGAACAACCAATCCAATTTAAGGAGGATCATCGGGTCATATGCCAGGTCTGTTAGTAGGCCCAACATGGTAAAAAAGTCAGTTTGATTCCTGTGCCATTGGTGACTATACAATTGTCATGAACTTATCTTTAGATCTGCAATGTAGAAGAAGATTTGGTGAGAGATACAGGAACCTAAATATTGCATATACAAGCTTGTACGCCGGGAGCAGAGCATACTACTATGTAGAAGAAGATTTGGTGAGAGATACAGGAACCTAAATATTGCATATACAAGCTTGTACGCCGGGAGCAGAGCATACTACTACCTACTACTACTAATAACAACAGCAGTGACTAAAAAACTTACCATATATGGCACTTAATATATTCCAAGCACTCTTTTGAGCATTTAATATTTATTTATTTAAATCTCAGAAGAGTCTTAAAAGATAGACACCACTACTATCTCCATTTTAAAGAAATGGATTCTGAGATCCAGTGAGTATTATTTTTAATTTCCACAGAGATAGTAAATTATTGAGTCAGGATTCAGTCTCAGGTAGTCTGGCTCCAGAGCCCAAACATGATATTGTCCCAGTGAATAGGAGTACCAGTTCTATATTTAGAGATGCACTCTGGAACGGGGCTATCTGAATCCACAGACTAGCAAATATGGAATGTGCCATAGAATGAGGATTTGGGGAAGTGTAAGGCAGAAGCTGATGGTATACACAGAAAAGAAATGGGCGCGCTATCTTTCTGTAGTTCGGATTCAGATGGAAAGGAGACTAAGCAGCATCAGTGAAAATATCTACAAGATTTTAATATTCCTCCAAGTTGGTTTTCTACTCTTTCTTCCTTGTTCACGAACTGTTCCTTATCAACTATCACCTATATACCTAGAATGTCTCAAAAGTGATCTGACATCTGACAATTCTTCTAAGTTTCAATCTTATATTTTCCTTTTTTTCTGGGCATTTCCAATAGAATATTTTACTTCTGCTTCAAAATCAACATACCTGGAATTTAATTTTACTCCACAAGTCATTTTTAACTTCCCTATTCCTGCAAATAGCACTGCCATTTTTCCCTAAACACCACAACCTAAAAACATAAAATCATCTTTGACTTCTTCATCCTCCTTGTTCCTTCAAATTGATCAATCATCAAGTTCATCCTTTGAATCATCATTCAAATCTCTAACCTTTTTTTTTATTGCCACTGAATTAATACAACACCCTTCTGACTTGTTTCCATGCCCTGTAGTCTAATACATCTTGTACTCCATTAGATGATGAATCTTCCAAAGTAAGATTACTTTCCAATATCCAATTAAAAGACAAGCCCTTTTTTCTACTTTATAAATTCTTTGAATGTAAAGACTGTGAGTGATCTTATCCCCTTGCTTCACACAGAAAAGTTTTAAAAAATAAATATGCTTAACAAATCAATAAATGTAAATCCCATGCATATATTATCACACAAATTTATATATTTTTTACTCATATACCCAAACACAAACACTTATGCAAACAGGAACAACAGTGCAAGTTATGTTTAAAAGACACAATATCTATTAGCGTGGGTGCCACAGAACTGACCAGGTGGAAAAATGAGGCATGCTCACCTGAGCTTGGGAGTAGGTAAAAATTGCAAAGTCAATGGCTTTTTCCTTCCTACCTTGAACTCAAGAAGAAGCAAAGACTAGAAATTGGGCAAACTCTTTAATTTCCCTGAGATCTGGGAAAAGTATGTACATTATGACAGATGATAGAGCAAAGTGTTAGTCTTCCAGTCACAAAAGTCCTCAAATAACCGTTATATTCACTGCACTTTCTAGACCCATGGGCTTCCCAAATCAAGAGACTAGGTTTTCCTGTAGCCTTCTGCCTACCAGTACAAGGAAAAGTACAAGGGGTTAGGAACACAGCATCAGCAAAAGACAGGGGGTATCTTACAGGGTCCAGTCATTGGAAGATGAGGTCAATGGAAGTTTACTGCCCTGGAGATTTTAGGGTGAAAATGTTAAATGGTCTTATCTGCTGTGTAGAATCTGATTCCTGAGGCACCTTCGAGCAGGATTTCTGTACTGAGTTCTCTGCAAGGAGAGTTAAAGGTAACTCTCCACCTCCCCCCTCAAAAGAGGAAAGATGGTATTGAAGAGGAAAGGCCAGTTATTTACAAAGCTTGCAGAAGCTCCGGAGGAGACACAGCCCCCTGGACACATTCTCTCCTCTCACCTGCTGAGCTGAGCTCAGCACAAAGCAGTGGAGTCACCAGTGAGGAGGTCACCAGCTGAGCACAGGATGGTAAAATCTGCCGCCTGAAGATCCAAATCCCACTTGGCAGTTCTCACTGGATTTTCATTTCTAGATGCTCAGAATATTTCTCCATCCTAAACCTTTGCCAACCACTTGTCTCAGATACAAGCCTAAATTCTCCAAGGGCCAGAGCAATGGATTTTCCTAAGAGGAAGTTGTTAAAAATGAGGTCCTGAGAGCTGAGGTAAGCAGTGTATTCCCAGGAGCCTCACTTGGTTAGACACTCTGAAGCCTTCTGCAATATGTAAACAAAGACTGGAATCTTTGGGTTTCCCTTGATTTCAAAATCTATTGAAAAGAGACCAAATTTTAAATGGGAATATACAATCTAGCATATTTATTTTTCAACCCAGAAGTTCTATTTCCAGGTACCCCAAAGAAATGAAATTCTTTCCCTACACAGAAGCTTGCAATAAAATTGTTCTTACTAACTTTATTCCAATTACCAAAAATTTGAAAAACTCAAATGTGTAGCAATAGATGATTGCATAAACAAACTGTGGTGTTTTCCTACAGTGCATCCATTTAATACACTACTACTGAACAGAAAAAAATGAACTTTTGATAAATATGACATGATGGTTAAATCCCAAAAACA